TGTTGACTGTTATTGTGGAGGAGGTGCAGTTACCTATCCTCACTGATGGTGGCCTATGGGTCAGAAAGCTGAGGATCCAGCTGCAGAGGGCAGAGCTGAGACCAAGGTGTCTCAGTTTAGAAATCAGTCTGGAGGGGATAATGGTGTTGACTACAGCTCAGCCTTCAATGAGGAGTCTGACGTAGGTGTCTTTGTTGTCCAGGTGTTCCAGCGATGAGTGCAGGGCTAGGGATATGGCATCCTCTGTGGATCTTTATGTCGGTCGGCAAATTGTAGGGGATCGAGGCAGGTTAGGAGACTGGAATTGATGTGGGCCATGACAAGCCTCTTGAAGCACTTCAATAATCATGAAGTCAGAGCTATTGGGCAGTAGTCATTAAGGCACACTGCATGTGCTTTCTTAGGTATGTGGATGATGGTGGTCTTCTTGAAGCACCTGGGGACTTTGGCTTTTAGGAGGGAGAGGTTGAAGATGTCGGTGAATACCTCTGCCTATTGGTTCACACAGCATCTAAGTGCTCAGCCAGGGACACCATCAGGGCCCATCACTTTCCTTGGGTTGACTCCCAGGAAGACCAATCTGACTTCTGACGCGGCGACAGAGAGAACCAGTGTATCTGGGGCTGTCGGGACAGGCATTGCCATGCCGGTGGTATTCTGCTCAAACCGAGCGTAGAAAGCATTGAGTGCATCAGGAAGGGATGTGTCATTTTTGGCTATCTTACACTGTTTGATTTTGTAAACCGTAATGTCGTTTAGGCCTTGCCATAGACAACGGGAGTCTGTTTGGTAGGTCTGGGCCTCTAACTTGGCCTCCCCGATAGCTTTGTGGAGGTCATATCTGGATTTTCTGTATTTGTCTAGGTCACCCGACTTGAATGCTGCACGTCTGGTCTTCAGTAGAGACTGGATTTCCTGGTTCATCCAAGGTTTACGGTGGGGAAAACTCGGATTGACTTCCTTGGCATACAGTCCTCCACGCATTCACTAATAAGTCAGTGATGGTGGTGGCGTGCTCATCGACGTTTTCAGTTTAACGCTTGAACACGGTCCAGACCACTGAGTCCAAGCAGTCCCGGAGACGGTCTTCCGCTGCCTCGGACCAGCATTGTACTTCTTTTCATGAAAGATTCTCCCGTTTCAGCTTCAGCTTGTAAGCTGGGAGGAGGAACGCAGTGCTGTGATCGGATTTTCCGAAGTGTGGGTGGAGAATTGAGCGGTAGGCATCTTTGATGGTCGTGTCGTAGTGGTCTCGAATGTTCAGTCCTCTGGTGGGGCAGTAGGCTACCTTTTTTAATGATACATATCCACCCACCTGAGATGGACAGCAAGAACCTGGTTGGTAGAAGACTGACTGTGATCACCAGCTATCAAATTAAATGTAATGAAATAGCAGGATGACTTTTCAACATCAATGAGACCAACAATAACACCACAGCCAAGCTCAACACTCTCACAACAAGTGAAGTGAACTGTCTGCTAGTGGAATTATAATCCAGGAGAATGTGAAATGGTCCCTCTGTAATGGGCATTGCTGTTATCTGTTATCTAGCACATCTTTTTCAGCAGCTATTCATTCATCGCACAGAGCTCCACTAATCCGTCAAGCCAACATAATGTTCTGCAATGTCCTTCTGTTGCCAACCTTACAGCTGCAATGTAAATGGTGGTCCATCAGCCATAGTTAGCTGGGCCTCCTGCAGACTGGTGAGCTTTTTTTTTGTCCACCCCATTGCATAGACTAATAAGTTATCCAAAAGGCTGCCAAACAATGCCAGGGTTCCAGATATTCTATCTGAAAATTAGCAGATACAGCTCTCAGTTACCAGATCTGCTGCACACTCAGACACAAGGCTTCTATTCCCTCCTCAGAGGGACATACTCATGTGGAAATGGATTTAACCAATTTAGTTTGCACTAGGCTTTTTTCTCATGACAATCAACAATTTCGACAGCAAACCAAGGAAGGAGTGTTAAACCTCACAATGATGTACATGAAAACTGACAGTATTGAAGAATGTCCTTTACCCTGCAGTGGAAACTGCTGCAGTCATAACGGATATCTAACGCAGACGCTCTAAAGTTCAGCCTCCTGTTCAGGAGAAAATTTATGCTGTGCAATGTACTATTTATTAATAGCAGCGCTGCACGCAGAGTCAAGATCAATTATAGTTCGAGGCAGTGGAGCATTTCTACCTCATTTCCTTCCTTTAAGACAATTTCTTAAATTCTGATCAAGCTTTTAGTCATCCAAGCCAGTATTTCCTTATGTGAACATATCAAATTTGTGATGATTCAGGACCTTAAAAAGGTGCCACATCAGAGGACCACGAGAAGAAGGAAAAGGTGTACAGCATTTGGCCCCTCGAGCCTGCTCCACCATTCGCTAGGACCATGGCTGATCCAACATTATTCACATCCACTTTCTTGCATTTTCCCTGTAACCCACGATTCTTGACTATCTCAGCCTTAATGATACATAAGGAATCTACCCCTATAGTTCTCCGTGGCAAGGAGCTACAAGCTCTCAACTCCTCATTTCAGTCTTAAATTGGTGCCACTTTCTTCTGAGACTATGCCCTTTGATAGTAGGCTCTCCCAAAAGGGAAAAACATCCTCTCAGCATTTACTGTGTCAAGCCCCTTAAGAATTCTACATGTCTCAATGAGAGATCACCTCTCATTGTTGTAAACTCCAGTCAGTAGACTCCCAACCTGTATAGTCTTTGCTCATAAGACAATCCCTCCATACCAGGCATCATCCTCATGAACCTTCTCTGAATTGCCTCCACTGAAATTATTCCCCAAATAAGGGAACCAAAACTGTAGTCCAGGTGTGGTCTCACCAGCACGTTGTACAGCTGCAGTAAGATGTCCCCACTCTTACACTCCAACCACCTTTGAAATAAGAGCCTACATTCCATTAGCTTTCCAGATTCCCTGCCACATTTGTGTGTTGGCTTTCTGTGTTTCATTTACAAGTACCCCCAAGTCCCTTTGTGTTGCAGCTTTCTGCAGTTTTCTTTACTTAAATAATGCTGTTCTTTTGCACTCCTTTCCAAAATGAACAACTTCACATTTTCACACATCATAATCCATCTGCCAACTTTTTGCCCACTTATTTAACCTATCAATATCTTTCTGTAAACTGTTTGTATCCACCTCGCAACCTGCCTTTATCAGTTTGTGTCAGCTGCAAATTTGGCTACAGTATATTTGCTTCGTCCCTCCAAAGCGTCAATACATTGTAAACAGTTATGGCCCCAGCATTGATCTCTACGTAACCCCACTGGTCACAGATTGCCAACCTAAAAAAGAACCCCTTAACCTCACTCACTGTGTTCTACCCCTGAGCTAATTTTCAATCCAGGCCAATATATCACCTCCAAAACAGTGGGCTGTTATCTTAGGACTTACCTTTTGTGAGGTACCTTGCCAAATGCCTTCTGGAAATCCTAACTCAATACATCTATTGGTTGTCCTTTATCTGCTCTGGTTGAGACCCCCATCAAAAGTAATAAATTAATCAGACACGACTTCCCTTTCATGAAGCCATGCTGAATTTGCTGGATTAGATCATGTTTTCTTAAAATGTTCTGCTTTACTTCCTTAATAGTCGAGTCCAATACTTCTCCAACAATAGATGTTAGGCTAATTGGTTTATAGTTATCCAATTTTTGCATCCCTTGTTTTTGAATAGGCTGTCACATTGGCAGTTTTCCAATCCTCTGGTACTTCTCCAGATTCCAAGGGGTTTTGTAAAATTACAACTATCTCTGAATCCACTATCTCTGAAGCTACCTCTTTTAGGATCCTGGGAAACAGGCCATCAGGATCAGGGGGCTTACTTGCCTTTAGACCCATTAGTTTGTTCACACAGTTGTTATTGCTGTCACTACATAGTTGTGTTAATAGGTTTAGAAAGTACATTTGCGAAGTCAAATTGAGAGAAATTTCAGGTAATTAAACACTAAAAAGCTCATTGTGCCATCTTAGAAAAAAGTAATAACGCTGAGGATAGGTTGCATCAATCCAACTTGTGAATGGAAAACCTGAATCCAACTTTAATGAATCCCTTTAAGTCAGCTTGTTTAAATAAAGGAACCAACAGAGTCACAATTTTACACTGCTGTTACTCTATTTTAAATATTTTTTGATACGCTGCATAAACAAATCGAATAGAAGGTCAAGGATGAATGTAATTGTAAAACATTAGATGTTGCATGAAGAGAGATACAAGAGGGCACTAATGTATGGAACAATGGATGGAGACAGTGGAGTGAATAAATTAAGTCCAATGGTTTTCCTGTACCACAGATCGATCAGAGTGCAGCTTCCCAGTAGTCTGGCAATGCTGTCCAACTTATGAAGATCCACCTTTTGATCTCCTGCACAAGAAACAATTGATCTTTCACTCTCTGTGGTCCTGAGTAGAATGCTGTTTCGAGGATCAGCACAGGATCCATGGATGAATGGCCTCTTTTCTGCACTACAAGGGTTCTAATGATCCTATGAAAGCCAACTACACTGATTTTGGTTGCGTTCTGCCACCCTGGCAGTTTTCTTGCACATTTTAATGGCCATTAAGAGGAGACTTTGCACTGGAGCAACAGATTGACCTAGAATCAGGAAGGCCAAGCATGCTTGTCCCATTCTCCCAACAGACCACAAATCCACAGGAGGCTATTTAATCAGGAGCATCAGACTCCGCTCCTACGCATCTCTCTCCTCCGTTACCCACCATGCCAGTATGGTTCGTTCAAACGTGGTTTCTTTAACTGAGCCAATGCTTCATAGGAGAGTTATAGTGCCACTGCTTCTAACACCACTTACCAAATGGGGTCCTATGATGAGACTACCTCTAACCTATCCATTTGCCAAGCCCCAAAGCGGACTTTGAACTTCCATCTGAACCTGGAGGTGCTGCCCATAACTCAGCCTTCTGTTCAAGTGCTAATTGCGTTCCATCCTCCTGCCCACAATTTGAGTCAAACAGAAGAGCGAAGCAACATAGAACAAAATGACAAATTAAACAAGACAGGCACAGAGAAAGGAACAGCAGAATTCAGAGGTCGCAGAGTGATAGCACAGTGCAATTATGTGTTATAACTGAACTGCAGTACTGTAATAGCTTTTAATTATAGAGACTGCAACGGGAATAACTTAAATTTATCCGAAATGGAGCCTGTATTGGTTGGCTGGTAGATTTCATAGCTATAATTAATAATTACTAGCTTTAATACCACAAATTTAGTACTGTCACCATCATATTTAAATCATAGAGATGTTGAATGATACAGCACAGAAGGCTGCATTTTGACCCATCTTTCCAAAGCTTACTCTTTGGTAGAATTGTCCAATTAATCCCACTCCCTTGCTCTTTTCCCAAAGTCTTGTTAATGTTTTCTCATTAAATATTTATCCAATTTTCTTTTTGAAAGTTACTAACTTCAAGCTGTGCATTCTGGAACACAGCAACGTGGTTTATAAAAATACATTTCTCGTCACCCGAGGTTCTTTCACCGAATCATCTTGAACCTGTGCCCTTTAGTTCCTGTCCCTTCTATCTCTGAACAGCTTTTCCTTATTTACTTTGGAAGAATCACTTGTCACTGGTGAATAATTTGATCGAAGCCTTAAGAACATACCAAAGAGGAATAGTCCATTCAGACGCATGAGCCTGTTCTGCCATTTGATGTGATCACAGCTAATCTCATCTCAGCCTCAACTCCACTTTCCTGCCCATTCTCCATGCTCCTTCAACCTATTACTAATTAAAATTCTCTCTCCTCCAAAGCTTTATTCAACGTTCCAGCATCCACCAGACTCTAGTGTGAATTCTACAGATTCAGGACTTTTTGAGAGAAGTAATTTCTCCTCATCTGTGTTTTAGATGTGCCATTCCTTATCCTCAGACTCTCTAATTTTCTCTGCTCCAAACACAATCCCAGCTTGTCCAGTGCGTCTAAATAACTGACTGACATTTCTGATTCCTGGTACCATTCTTCACAGAGAGTCATAGAGGTCTAAAGAACAGCAAAAGGCCCTTCAGTCCATCAAATATGTGCCAGTCAAAAACATCCACCTAACATTCTAATCTCATTTTCCAGGACTTGGAATCCCAAGAGCTCTCCTAAATAGTGCTTAAATGTTGACGGTTTCTGCCTCACTCGTCAGTGAGTTCCAGACTCCTACCACCTTCAGTGAAAAAAATTTCCTCGTTTTCTTTAAACCTTCTGCCCCTTGTCTTAAATCTGTGCCTCCTGGTCATAGATCCTTCCACCAAGGGGAAAAAGTTCCTTCCTGTCTACCCCTCATAATTTTATACATCTGAATCATGTCTTTCCTCAGTTTCTTCTACTCCAAGTAAACACCATCAGTCTGTCCATTCTTTCTTCACAGCTAAAACTCTCCAGCCCAGGCAACATCCTGCTAAATATCCTCTGCAACTCTCCAGTGCAATCATATCCCTCTAATAACGTGGATTCTTGAACTGCACACAATACTCTCTAGGTGGTCTAAACAACTTGCATACAATTCCAGCGTAAGCTCCCTGTTCTTAAACTCTTTGCCTCGGCTAATGAAGGTAGTAAATTTGAGTTACCATTTTTTATAATCATAAATAAGCAAAAACGTTCATCTTGGGTCAAAACGCTCCAACCATTCAAAATTGAACCATCATTTATGGAAATATATTTTACCCAGTAAACAGACAACATTTTAATCTTAATGTCTCAACGGTTTAAAATTTCTACGCTTTTGAAGCCACAAGAATTAAATTCAATGCAACAGAAGGAAAGAAGATGAGCACCTGAGCAATTATTCGCTCTTCATCCTGGTACGTTTTAGTTCCGAATACATCGACTACCTTCATTCGTTCCCCTAGCTTAGGATTTGAAACAATCAATTTGTTATTGGTTGCACAGTTTCACACAAGTATGAACAAGTTTGAAATGCAGAATATTGCAGATGCTGGAAATCCGAAACAAAAAGATAGAAAAAAAGTTGGAAATACTCACCAGGTTATGGCAGCATCCATGGACAGAAACAGAGTAAATACTTCAGGCCTGTGATTCTTTCCCAGTTCTGATGAAAGGGCACAGACCCGAAACTTTAATGCTACCTTCTTCTCCACAGAGACCGTCAGAACCTGCTCAGTATTTTCACTACTTTCCATTTTTACTTATGATTAATTTTGACCTCAAGCCTATTTTGTCAATAGTTTCCGAAAGAAATTGGTGAATAATAAATATTTATTCCTTAAATCTGTTCTCAGTATTTCAATCAAGAAATACATAATCTGAAACAAAGCTGAATTCTGGGAAGCCCAGATTTGTCAGCTGTATCAATTTACATGAATTAAATTTTTTTTTTGTTTTGTTTTTAAAACTCAGAACAAAGCTCAAAAGGACAAAATTATAGTTTCAATAGATTATCCAAACACAATTCATTAATATAATGAAACAAAGAACTGCAGATACCAGAGATTTGAAACAAAAACAGAAGTGTTCGAGAAACTCAGCAGATTTGGAGCATCTGTGGAGAAAAAAAACAGAGCTAGCATCCAAAGTCAAGTAAGCCTTCATTAGAACTGAAAGTAGCTGGGAAATGGTGGGATTTCTGACGATGATGAGGACATGGGGTGTGGAGATGTGTGGTTATATGAACTGTGAGTTAATGGATTTGTCATGGATATCAGTGGCCAGCCTAACCCTCGAAAGGTAAATGTGAAGATTTATACTCAAGATAATTGTAGAAGTCAACTGTGGTTAACAGGGCTGTCAGCCATGTTCGACCCACGTCTCATCCTTCTGCCCTCCCCACTTCCCTTCCCTCCCTTGTCCTCATCTTCCACTCCAACAACCGCCATATCCAAAGGATCATTTCCACCACCTCCAGACACATTCCCCTCCTCTGCTGTCCCTTGTCAGTCCCATTCTAGAGGGAGTGTTCCCACCAACACATGCTGTTCAATTGCTCCCCCACTCCCAACAGCTCCTCAAATCCCCTTGGCTTTTCCAGAAGGTGCAACATTTGCCAGTTTACCTCCTTCCTCGTCATCCAAGGCCCCAGATACATCTTCCAAGTGAAGTATCAATTTACCTGCACTTCATTCAATCTAGCCTACTGTATTTGCTACTCACAACGTACATTGGGAAGATGAAATGCAGACTTGGTGACAGCATTGTGGAACAGTTCTGCTCTCTGTAAAAACGACTGAGCTTCCAGTTGCCTGCCACTTCAACCCACCATCACGTTCCCTTCCAACATTGCTGTCTCAAAGCTCAAAGCAAGCTGGAGGAATACCACCTCATCTTCTGCTTAAATACCTTACAGCCCTCAGGACTCAACACCTACCTCCATGTTTGCTACCCACCCCATATCCCAGGCCCTGTTCTGTTCCCAACACAGCCAGTGCATTTTTAACTATTCACACTTCCCGTTAGCAGGCAGAAATTACTTCTTTCCCAGCTTACTTACTGTCAGTAATTCCTCAGTCTGCTTCTGTTTCTTCCTCTCTCTTTCTGGGTGCCATCTCAGTCTATACAACTCACTCCTTTGTCTTCTCCTGAGCCACCCACTCTCAACCTCAACTCCAACCTAAACCCCAACATCAACATAACTACCATCCTTTCCCAGCTGCTTTCACTTCTATTGGAGGGTCACTGGAATCAAAACATTCACTCTATTTTTCTCTTCACAAATGCTGCCAGACCCACTGAGTTTCTCTAGCACTTTCAGTTTCTGTCACAATTCACTGGTACATGGAATCAAAATTCGCAAATAAAAAAAATTACTTACTTCTAGTGATTTTAGAAGGGGCAGCGACTGGACAAATTCTTCATACAATTTCCTCTTTTTGGCATTGTTTTTGACAATAATTCTACGAAACGTTGTCCTGTCCTAAAAAATTGTACCTAGTTAAAAATTTATGCAGCCAATTTAAAACAGCAGAATTGTTTTCAGTTTTATTAATGTGCAAACTTTCTTGAACGCTTCAATCAAATTTCACCAGCTAGTATATAGTGGAGTACAATATGCTAACACAAATCAGCAAAAATTAGGTAAAATTCCTTTTCCCTATTGAATTCACTACCTTACCTTGGTCGTCCCAAACATATCAGCAATGCCAAAGTTAGCCACAAGATGGCGCACATCAATAGCCTACTGCACATCTCCCTCCAGGTGGAAAAGTGCCTCAAGTCACTGGATTTGATATTGAAAACAGGGCTGAATATATATCTCATTGCCACGGAGCTACTTCTCCGAGAAAATTTTAGGTTTCACGCACTAAGACAGCATTAGTTCAAGTGCCTAACTATCATCATTATCCTTTATAGTCTATATTTTCTTTGTCCTGCTTTCATTACAATACAACATATTTTACTAACGTTCCTCTAGTTGTCTCCAATGGACAGCTAAATTTACGCTCTGTAACAGTAACATATCTCGAATAATGGCTTCCCCTCCCACCTCCCCACTACAGGACCGAACATCCTGGACCACTGCTAAACAACCAAAGACGGCTACCGCTCCATCCCCTGTCCACACTTTGGAAAATCAGATCACAACATTGTTTTCCTCCAGCCCGCTTACAAGCAGAAACTGAGAGGGGAGGATCCTTTGCACAAAGAAATACAATGCTGGTCCAAGGCAGTGGAAGAGCATCTCCAGGATTGCTTGGACTCAGTGGACTGGACCGTATTCCAGTACTCAGCAGACAACTTAGAAAAGTACGCAACCACTGTGACAGAGGTAATTAGCAAAAAGAAGTCAATCTAGGTATTCCCCAACCGGAAACCTTGGATGAACCGGAAAATCCATTCCCTACTGAAGGCCAGGCATACACCATTCAGGCTGGATGACACAGACCTATAAAGGAAATCCAGATATGACCTCCTCAAAGCCATCAGAGATGCCAAGAGGCACTACCAGATCAAGTTAGAGGCCCAAAACCAACCATACAGACTCCCGCTGCCTGTGGTAATGCCTAAACAACATAAATGGGACACAAAATGAAGCCAAGGAAGGTAGCAGACAAAGATGCGCTCAATGCTTGGTTAGAGCAGAATGGCAGCAGCATGGTGTCATCTGCCCCAACAGCCCTTGACACATCTGTTCCCTCCATCACTGCTGCAGACATCAGCACGGTCTTCCTGGGAGTCAACACAAGCAAAGCAACGGGCCTGGACAGAGTCCCCGGCCATGCACTTAGATCCTGTGCAGACCAGATGTCAGAGGTATTCACTGACATCTTTAACCTTGACCTCCTACAAGCTGAAGTCCCCACCTGTTCAATAAGACCACCATCATTCCAGTACATGCAACGTGCCTTAATGACTACCGCCCAGTGGCTCTGACCCCCATAATCATGAAGTGCTTCGAGAGGCTGGTTGTGGCCCACATCAACTCCAGTCTCCCTGCCCACCTCAATTCCCTGCAATTTGCCAACATGTCAGGTCCACAGCAGATGCCATTTCCCCAGTCCTGCACTCATCCCTGGAACATCTGGACAACAAGGACACCTGCTCATCGACTACAGCTCCGCCTCCAACACCATTATCCCTTTCAGACAAAACTTTAAGACCTAGGTCTCGGCTCTGCACCTGGATCCTCAGCTTTCTGACCCACAGACTGCAATCAGTGAGGATAGAATACATCACCTCCTCCACACTAACACTCAATGCATCCTTAGTGGACTCCAGTGTTAGCAGCCCCCAACTATACTCCCTGTACACCCAAGACTGTGTTGCCAAATTCTGAATGAACGGCATCTACAAGTTTGCTGATGACACTACTGTGGCAGGATGGATATCAAACAACGATGAGTCAGAATACAGAAAGGACATAGAGGGCTTGGTGACATGGTGCAACATCTCTCTCAATGTCAGCAAAACTAAAGGTCTGATCACTGACTTCAGAAAGGAGAACACGCCCCCATCTACATCAACAGAGCAGAGGTTGACAGGGTTGAGACCGTAAGAAGTTCTTAGGAGTGACGATAACCAACGGCCTGTCCTGGACCTCCCATATAGATGTGACAGCCAAGAAGTCAAAAGGACGCCTCTTCTTCCCCAGGCGGTGCAGGAGATTTGGCATGTCCATAAGGACAGCTACACCATACAAAGTATACTGTCCTGCTAAGCCAACTGTTCTGCCCAGGACCCTGAGAAACTACAGAAGGGTGTATGCACAGCCCAGAACATCATGGAAGCCAACTTCCCATCTATGGACTCCATTTGTGCCTCTCATTGCCACAGAAAGGCTGCCAACATCAAAGACCCATCCCACCCCTGTAATGCTCTCCTACAACCTCTTCCATCAGGCAGAAGTTACAGAAGCTTGAATACATGCACCAACAGGTTCAGGAACAGCTTCTTCCCTACCATTATTAGGCTGATGAATGGACTCTAACTTCAAATAGTGCTGATCTTGTTAATGCTGTCCTCGCCTCCTGCACGTCCTACATGGTGTAACCTGTATGCCTTACTCTGTCCAAGTATTTTTCACTTTATGATCTGTATGTCCTTGCTTACTATGGTCTGCCTGTACTGCCCACAAACAAAGCTTTTCACTGTACTTAGGTCCAAGTGACAATGAAATCAAATCAATCAATCACTGTTATACTTAGCAAAGATTTCATCTTTAACTGCTGATTGTTCTTTCACTATTTAAAATGGTGCTCATAAAGATGTTGTTTGAACACACAACCATTTTGTTTTCCTATTTGACTCACTAGCCACTTCCAAGTCACGCACTATCTTGAACATGTTTTCATTCTGCCATTGGCACTGGCTCAAAAATCTGGCCTCCCTACCAAATATTGCTGAAGCATCATCAGGCCAAATACTTAAGTGGATCTAGGAGAAATGCACCAAAGTGAGTGATAAATGACCTTGCCATGGTTTCATGCAGTCATGCAGGAAAAAAAAACCCAATATTTTTCTACCACTTCTGTACTGTCAGATGACCCATTGCACTCCAAGCTGCCATTAAGCCAGAATTTTCCATGTACAATATGTCAAAAATATGGAAGAGCATTGTACCACATACTGAGCATTTTAGGACCAGTAGGGTAATCTGACACTATTATGCAGAATCTTTAAATATTCATTCTATTTTAATGGGCTGGTTTCAATTCAGTGAATAATTGCTTTCAGATGGATAACTGTTATAAGATTTTCAGTTTTTCAACATGTCGTGTACTGAACTTCACTGACTGGACAACACAAAATGCATTTATTTATAAAATCCAAAAGTTTGTGAACACTTACCAGACCCCACAGTGCTCCAACGGAGGTAGCAATGATGGTAGCTGCTCTGGGAGTATTATACATCAATGCCAGCTCACCAAAGCTGCCACGATTATCATAGGTACCAACACATCTTTGCATTCCATCCACATTGACAAATATATTGTACGTTCCCCTGTGAAATGTCAACAATGATCTGTATTAAAGAAATGCTTCCTCGCATTTCAAAAGCAAATAAACCTGGTTTAAATCAGATATTTGCAACAAAAAATAATTCAGGATTACCATAGGCTCTGAATTGCTGGGGAATGCACCTAATCAGGCAAGCAGTTATGTCAGAGCCGGTTTTGAAAAAAAAACAATTCAAGCTCTTCTGAGGTTGTCTGAAAATGGCATAGCACGCACCCCAACTCTCCTGGTGGAACTGCTTCCCTTCCGAAGCTTCAGGCCCTCTGACTGGGCTGGCAGTCTGAAGAACCCAGTAGCATGCTTAATTGGACAGCAGAGGCAGAGACACTCAACAGGAGTTGTCTCCCATAGGATCAGGCTAATACAAGCGCCTCCAGCAAGTGCAGAGTGACGACCAGGAAATGGAGCATAAATACCCTAATTTATAAACGTATAAAACTAGTGCAGAAATGGACAGTTCAGCTTCTCAAGTCTGCCTCACTGTTCAGTAAGATCATGGCTGTAACAATTTCATATTCCCATCTTATCCCCAATAACCCTGGATTCCCTTGCCTCGCAGGAATCTTTCGTCCTCCTCTGTAAAAGTATTCAACGTCAAGGGTTCTCGTAGCTCTGTGTAACGTCCCTACTCCTGAGCCTGGAGTCCCGGTTTCAAATCCCACCTGCTCCAGAAATGTGTAATAATATCTCTGAATACTTTTGGATATTTTCAACATCAAACTGTTCAATGACCTGGCCTCCACCAGTTTGAGGTAGGGTGTTCCAACGTCACAGAATCCTCAAAGACAGAAAAGAAAAACCTTCTCCTCAGCTCTGTCCTGATAGGGTGACCCCTATTTTAAAATGGTGACCTCCAATTCCGCACCGACTCACAAGAGGAAATATCTTTTCCAGACCGTTCAGGGTCTTACACAGTTTTTTGAGAAGATTTGTAGCTCGGGTTGTGGATGAGGTTGTTATTTATAATCACTTCCGGAAGTGATGCCAACCACCCCAGCAAACTGAGGCATGTAAATAACAAGTGGGACAGAACACCAACTCTCCACCGGAGGCACACTGACGATATTACCTAACAGGGTGACGAAACGTTTGCAACCAAACCCACCAGTTCAACGAGCAAGTCTACAACCTCAGGGTCTTATGCACTTTAATCAAGTGTTCTAACTTCCAGTGGAAGCAAGTCCAGTCTGTCCAACCGATCCTCCTAAGACAACCCATTTATTTAGGGATCAATTTGATATGCCTCCTCTGACTGCATCCAATGCAACTTTTCATGAGCATAAGAACCTAAAATATGCACGTATGTGCAGTCAGTAATGCTTCCTGAATTTTAATGAACCCCTGAAAAGGGGCAAGATTTACTGTTGATGGATGTATCTAACTTTGGAATGGTTTAAAAATGAAGAAGACTGCAAAGACAGGTATATTTAAAATAAAAAAAAATTCATTTTTGACATGAGTCATAGATTAAAATGTACATTAGATAATTACAGTGTCATTTAAGCAAAGAGTCATTGTTGTATAATGTTATGGTTCTCAGAAGGGTTACTACATAATGCACTATCCAATCTGAAAATGTCCCGGGCAGGATTATGGGAGATCATCTTAGGATCTCATGGAGTGTGGACCTGCATCACAGGTTTCCTCGTAGTCTTAGTCATAATGTTTAACAAAGTAATGTAACTTGTGCATAATTGCTACCATGCAATAAACTACAATCTTATTTAAAATAGGTGCCTCTTCTTGTTAATACTCAATAGTGGCTGATCCTGTACTACTGATTAGGCCCCTAGACCCAGTAAAGGAGAGAGAATTGGCAACTGCATTCTTCATACCCACAAAGCCCAGAGTCATTAATCACAGATAAAATAGGGGAAAATACACTGTAAGAGAAAGCTTGTAGGGAACATACAAACTGATTGCAAAATCTGAAAAGGGGAGCACTTCTGGATACCAATAAGAAAAGAAAAAAAAAAATCTTAAAAAGGGATGGCTCCTTGTGGCACACTGGTAGTGTCCTTACCTCCAGATCAGGAGGCCTGGGTTCAAGTCTGCTTCATAGGTGTGTAATAACATCTCTGAACAGATTGATTAGAAAATATCTAAAATCTTCAAGGGTCCCTTCCCTCACTCTCCCCTACCTTTGATAGTCTGCATTGACATTAACAGACTTTGCATGTAAATTCATCAATTGGAAAACATGGGTGAGTTACTGGTGGTGGTTGATAAAGGAAAGAAAAATGATTTGGTGATGGGGAAAAATAAAAAAAGAAAAAAAAAAATCTGTTGTGTACATGAGCACTTCTGGTTAAGTAATTAAAAACAAAAATCTTAAAGGCAGGGCTCTTGTGCTGCAGTGTTCGTGTCCTTACCACTGAGCCAGAAGGTTCCCACCTGAACCAGAAACATAGCATAACACTTCTGAACAGATTGTTTTTTTTTAAAAACCATAAAATTTTAAAATTGTAAGGCAGCAGGCTATGGTTCAAAACTGCCACCTGTCTGCCTCTTCTCCAGCTAACCTCATACCCTGCTGTCCTTGGTAAGACAGCACACCACGTCTGCCAATACTCATGATGCCTTTAGAGAGAGGTGGACGCTGTGGGGGCTACAGTGCTTTATTTCTCCTTCCATGTCCATTTTGATTTAGCCTCCTCCCTACCTCTACTCCCCCTCTGATGGCTCACATTGCCCTTAATGGGCTTTGCGCATAAATTAATCAATTGGAAAACATGGGTGATTTCCTGGTGGTGACTAATAGATTTCAAAAAAGCACAGTTGATGGTAGAGGGGGGGCGGTTGATGTAAAAATAAACTCAGTCGTGTGTAAGAGCACTTCTGGATATAAAAAGAATAAAAAAGAAAAATTTAGAAAATAAAACCTTCTGTCCTACAAATCCCCAGGGCCCAAATTCTACATCTCAGAGTACTGAAAGAAATAGCCCGAGCATTATTGGTCTTCTTTCAAGATTCTGTCGACACCGAACAATTCTTACAGATTGGAGGCGAGCGATGTCACCCCATTATGTAAAAATGGGCAGAAAACAGGGAATTATAGTCTCATTAGCCTGGCATCAGGAGTAGGGAACATACGAGAGTCCATTAGGAACAAATTCACAGCTGAATACTTGGGAAGACAGTAACAGGACTGGACAGAATCAGCATGAATTTATGAAAGTGGAATCATGCTTGGCAAATCCACTGGAATTCTGTGAGGATGTATCTAGTAGAGTTGATAAAAGGAAACTAGAGAATGTGGTTTACTCAGATATTCAGAAGGTCATAGATAAGATCTCACATTAAGAGACAGGCATATACATTGAAAATGCATGGGATTGGGTTAGTGTGCTGACATAGATAGATAACTGGTTGATAGACAGGAAACAAAGTAGGAATAAATGCGTCACTTTCTGAGAAGCAGTCAATGTCGAGTGGGATACCACAGGAATCAGTGCTTGGACCCCAACTATTCATAATATACATTAAATGATTTAGATCTAAATGCAATATCTCCAAGTTTGCAGGCAACACAAAGCTGGGTGGGAGGGTGAACTCTATGGAGGATACAGGGATTGTTCAGTGTAATGTGGACAAGTTGAGTGAGTGGGCAAATGCATGGGAGATACAATGTAACGTGTCGAAATTAGACGTTATCCACCTTGATGGCAAAAACAGAAAAACGGATTATCATCTGAATCGCGACAGATTGGGAAAGGGGAAGATGTAATGAGATCTGGTTGTCCTTGTTGAAAGTAAGGATGTAGGTGCAGCAGGAGATGAAGGCAGCAAACGGGATGTTGGCCTTCATAGTAAGAGGATTTGAATACAACAGCAAAGGGTGTCTTACTGCAACTGTGCAGGACCTTGGTGAGACTACACCGGGAGTATTGTGTGCAATTTTAGGCTTATCTGAAGAAGCATGTTATGGCAATGGAGGAAGTGCACAAAGGTTTACCAGACTGATTCCTGGGATGGTAGGACTGACGTATGAAGACAGAATGGATCAATTTGTACTACATTCAAAGTTTGGAAAAATGAGGGTGATCTCACAGAAACCTATAAAATTCTAACAGGATTACTCTCTAGGCAGGGTAAATGCAGAAAAGTTGTTCTTGATGACCAAGGAGTCAAGAACCCAGGTCAAAGTATGAGGATATAGAGTAGGCCATTTAGGATGGAGATGATGAGGAGTTTCTTCACTCCCAGAGAGAGAGGTGAGCCTGTGGAATTCGTTGCCACAGAAAGCGGCTTAGGCCAAGAGACAGTGTTTTCAAGGAGGAGTTAGATATAGTTCTTAAGGGTAATGGGATCAAACTATATGGGGATCAAAAGAAACTACTGAATTGGATGATCAGACACAATCATACTGAATGGCGTACTCTTATTCCTATTTTCTAAGTGTCTTTGTTACCAATTACTAACCTGGTTTAGCATTGCAAATTATACTCAAGAAATTGTGATACTTATTTTGACCCAGGAGTGAATACCATCTACAGCTTTAGCAGCCAACTGAATATATCAGTTCTCAAATTTAGGACATCAACAGATTTACAAACCACTTGTAAGGAAGATTTATATAATGACAGATACCTGAAAGAAATAACAAGCTGGCAGCATCAGAATTATGCATAAGTTCATGTACCAACTTTCACCCAACTGCAAGTCACTGGGAGCCTAAGGTTAGATTGGTGTCACAAAAAAAGTCATTAATGTTCAATATAGTGTGCTCCAACCTAAAATGGAATTTTGCTATACATTTGGATCTTTTAATAACACATTTTGCTGAAGTAAATGCTAGGTAAATGCTACATGTTGGGGTTAAATGAATTAAAAGATTTGGGACATTTGCATCCCAAGAGCTATTTAGGGTCGAAAATCGTATCCAGTTCATAAACAGTCAATTCTCAGAGATACAAAAGCCATTGGAGGTTGATCAAATATTTCCTGGATAGGACCCAGGCAGGAATGGCTATGAAACTGCACTTTACAAAGTTATGCCAATTTTGAAACAATGGGAAGATGCAGGGTGCATTCCAAAGTAGTTTGTAGCACCGTGATAGAATGATGCACACTCAAAGCAGCCAGCTTAACTAAACTAGACATAGATTACATAATTGAAATGTGTGTAGTTTTATTCTCTGGATGAGCAATAATGACCACAGGAAGAGTCATCCATAAGAAGATACAGGCTGAACAGTGATAGCGAATGCATTTTATCTTTGACCAAAGTAATTATATTTTGGGGTCACAAGGTGTAGAGCTGGATGAACACAGCAGGCCAAGCAGCATCAGAGGAGCAGGAAAGCTGACGTTTCGGGTCAAGATCCATCTTCAGAAATAGGGGAAGGGAAGGGGATTCTGAAATAAATAGGGAGAGAGGGGGAGGCGGATAGAAGATGGATAAAGGAGAAGGTAGGTGGACAGGAGACAGACAGGTCAAAGAGGCAGGGTTGGAGCCAGTAAAGGTGAATATCGGTGGGGAGTTAGGGAGGGGATAGGTCGGTCCAGGGAGGACGGACAGGTCAAGGGGGCGAGATGAGGTTAGTGGGTAGGAGATGGGGATGGGGCTTGAAGTGGGAGGAATGGTTAGGGAGGCGGGGACGAGCTGGACTGGTTTTGGGTTGTGGTCGGGGGAGGGGAGAGGGGACCGCTTTGCGGAACACCTACGCTCGGTTCGCAACAAACAACTACACTTCCCAGTCGCGAACCATTTCAACACCCCCTCCCACTCCTTGGACGACATGTCCATCCTGGGTCTCCTGCAGTGCCACAACGATGCCACTCGAAAGCTGCAGGAACAGCACCTCATATTTTGCTTGGGAACCCTGCAGCCCAAGGGTATCAATGTGGACTTCACAAGCTTCAAAATCTCCCCTCCCCCTACCCCATCCCAAAACCAGCCCAGCTCGTCTCCGCCTCCCTAACCATTCCTCCTACCTCAAGCCCCACCCCCATCTCCTACCCACTAACCTCATCCCGCCTCCTTGACCTGTCCGTCCTCCCTGGACTGACCTATCCCCTCCCTAACTCCACATCTACACTCAACTTTACTGGCTCCAACTCCGCATCTTTGACCTGTCTCCTCTCCACCTATCTTCTCCTTTATCCGTCTTCTATCCGCCTCCCTCTCTCTCCCTATTTATTTCAGAATCCCCTTCCCCTCCCTGATTTCTGAAGAAGGGTCTAGGCCCGAAAGGTCAGCCTTCCTGCTCCTCTGATGCTGCTTGGCCTGCTGTGTTCATCCAGCTCTACACCTTGTTATCTCAGATTCTCCAGCATCAACAGTTCCTACTAATACTGTAACATATTTTGGGGTCAGTTCGCTTTTAAACCACGTGTCTAAATTATTCACAAATTTGCATTTTTATATTACAAGCAGGGACAGGAACTAGATGCATCACTCCGGAAAGTCTCTAAGGTAAAATAAATCAGGGCACCATCATCTCTCATCTCAAAAAACTTTTGCTTTGAGTCTTATGCCTTCTACAGATCACAGTGTTCAGTGCACAAAACAATGGATTACTAACTAACCTCACAAGCTATTGTTTAATTAGCTATCGAGATGACAAAATTGCAAAAGGTGGCTAATGATGAAGAATTTGATAAAAAAATTTTATTGTAGGCAACTAAAATTTGTGATACGGATCCATGCTTATCAAATGATGACCGAAAAAGAATGTCTTCATCCAGGTGAGAAAATATATCTTTCTATGCAATCAAATCCCAATTAGTACATCCTCAATGTTGAATGTTAAATGTTGCACCTTCTTAAACAATGTACATAAACTGCATTCAAAATGGAAAGTAGAATTTATAAAGCATTTACCTTTCAATAACATAGAAGTTATCACCATCATCCCCTTGATCAATAACATGCTCACCAACTTTGACATGCGTTTCAAACATGGCATCCAACAGCTGAAACATTTGTTCCTATAAAAGACAGAGGTTATCATACACTGCAACTACTAACACAGTATACCACTTGTACAATAATGAAGAAAAAACAAATTTCAACTTTGGTATAGAGGCTGCTATATAGAGCAGGAGATGGGTATGCCTCAAACTTTGGGATGCTTTCTATAAAAACGAATAGTGGCATGACATCCATGCTAATGGTTTATTGAGTTTTTTGATATAAAACAGGATATAAAAATTGTACGTTTGATCCTAAATAGCAGCACTACAAATTGGCATTTACATCTCCAGGTTTGTGAAAAGATCAGAGTTTCTTGTCCTGATTGCCATCTGCCAGCTTTTACCAAAAAAAGTGTCCAGATACGAATAGGGAACCCTTGCGCCAAATAGCTCCTGGATCCTGAACACCTGTTCAGACATGAATAAAGGGCAACTTATCCCCTCAGAACCACACTCTGCAAATAGTTAATATTTTTGGCAAAGGAGGAGGAAAACAATAAAACTGAAGAAAAGCACAGACAAAAGATGTACATTGGTTCTGCAAGCAATGATTTATTTCTACACACTGAAATTAATTTATGGCAGCAATTCATAGAGAGATGAGCTGCAGTTGCCAACATCTTATGTAGTCCTGGCCTTGTAAAAGGCTGACAACTTGACCACCTCCCTTGTGTGGGGGATGTTACGCTAGCATCTAGCAAGTCAAAAATATATCCGCTAAACTGAACAGTTTGGAATTGTAGTTCCACAGACGTTTCATTACCCTGCTCGGTAACATCTTCAGTGCAGTCTCCAATGAAGCGTCGGTGTGTTTTCCTGCCTGGTTTTTAAACTCTGGAGCCCGTTGAGCTGGATTGCCTCACTTCCCGTTTTCCTTCGTACTGGAGTGTATATGGGGTCGAGTTCTATGTGTTTATTAATGGCTATCTTCTTGGAGTGCCAGGCTTCTAGGAATTCCCGTGCCGGTCTCTGCTTAGCTTGTCCCAGGATTTTGGTGTTGTCCCAGTCGAAATAGTGGTTCTCCTTGTCCATGTGGATTGAGATGAGTGAGTATTGGTCGTGTCTTTTTTGTAGCCAGTTGGTGTTCGTGTACCCTTGTTGTTAGTTTCCTTCCTGTTTGTCCGATGTAGTGTTTCTCACAGTCTCTGCAGGGGATCTTGTAGATGACATTGGTCCTGTCCATGGCGGGGAGTGGGTCTTTAGTTCGGGTGAGCAGTTGTCGTAGGGTTGATGTGGGCTTGTGTGGAAAACCCGAAGTGAGGCAATCCAGCTCAACGGACTCCAGAGTTTAAAAACCAGGCCGGAAAACACACCGACGCTTCATCAGAGGCTGCACTGATGATGTTACCCAGCAGGGTAACGAAACATCTGTGGAACAATGAACCAGCTCAGTGAGCCAACCAACCACAACATCCACAACCCGAGCTACAAATCTACTCCAAAACCTTAGTTTGGAATTGTAATCCACAAGAAAACAGATAATCTTTTCACTCTCTTGTCAAGTAGGGCTCCAAATGTTAGTCTCTCGGGAAGTCTAAAACTAATGAAGTTGCATTTACATAGCATCTTTTACAGACTAAATATTTTTGTAATTCAACCAATTTGAGTACATCAAGCACAAATGATCAGCACAAAGATAAATTAACAATCTATTTGCTGATGTTGATTGAAGAATGACCATTGTCAGAATACAAGGATAATTCTCTAGCACTTGGTCCAACTGCAGCTTTGGATTTGCCCAAGCAAGCAGAAAAGTCAACATTGTAACATCTCCTCTAAAGAATGGCATATCTAACAGCACACTATTTCCTCAGTCATGCACTGAAATGTCAGCCTAGATTGTGTGTTCAAATCTTTGGAGTAGGGGTTCCCACACCTTCAGGACTAATTGGAGTGCTCTAATCGAGTCACAGTTGTGATCTAAACAGCTGTCTAATTATTAAGGATGACAGAAATGTGTGTTTGTGAAAGCTATAATTCCAATATCTTTTAGAAACTTGCATGTTTCTTTGCCTCCACATTGAACTGATGTTGAATTGTACAGCTTGGATTCACAGCAACAGTGAACTTGGGAGCAGCAGGAGTTCATGTCGCCCCCTCAAACCTGCTCCTGCATGGCTAATCTTTTTGTAGTCTCAACTCTACTTTCTTGTCTGCCCCTCCCCAACTCCCTTGTCAAGTGAATACAAAATTCTAACTTTGAACATGTTCGATGACAATGACACCGAAAGAACTGCGGATGCTGTAAATCAGGAACAAAAACCGAAGTTGCTAGAAAAGCTCAGCAGGTCTGGCAGCATCTGTGAAGAAAAAAATCAAAGTTAACGTTTCAGGTCCGGTGACCTTTCCTCAGAACAGTTCTGAGAAAGGGTCAGCAGACCCGAAATGTTAACTCTGATATTTTTTCTTCACAGATGCTGCCAGACCTGCTGAGCTTTTCTAGCAACTTCGGTTTTTGTTCGTGTTCAATGACACATTCTTCACTGCTTTTTGGGGAAGAGAATTTCAAAAGAACAACTGGTAGAGGAAAAAGAAAGTCTCCTCATCTCCTTCTTAAGAAGTGTATCTCTTAGTTTAAGTCTCCTCCGTAAGTGGAAACATGCTTCCGGTAGCCATTCAATCAATGACCCCACAGGATCTTTTATGTCTCAATAAGACCACTTCCCATTCAACAGATGGCGCCTGACCTGCTGAGTTTTTCCAGCTTCTCTCTTACTCTAATTTCAGATTTTCACCATCTGCCACACGTGGTTTTTGAACTGTCCATTTATTCCTATTCTATATGCAACTACTTTAGCAGTCCTCTACCAATGCTACGCTATTGGCTCCTTACATCAGGAGTTCTTGTATTGTGCAGCAATATTTGAAGTAGCACCTTATCATGTACATTTTAAGACAACAGGAGACCCATCTTCAGATTCTGCTTGATTGGCTTCTTGTTACTTCTCAAAAACTGCTATTCTGCAATAATCCACTTGATTGTGGATTCTCTAATGATTTAATAATAGATTCTATAGCTGGTTTACCAATCATGTTCTATGAATCTTATCAAAAGCAAATGGTAACTGAGTCAAATTCATTTATTTTGGGTGGGGGAACTTTATTTTTAAAAATTTGATTATAAAAATTATAGGAATGCTTTGTTAACAGGAGGTGCAGAGTTCTATTCTGCTTTACACACAAGCAATGAGCAATGTTATAAGTTTAAATGGCCTGAAAGTAAAACATTTTCACCTTTACTTAGCATTCTCACTTGTCAAAAGCTCTTGCATATCTCAGGATGATGTACTTGACAGTCGCATAATGAAAGCACAGCCAAGTTTTCTTACCAGCTACCTCCAAAATATGTCAAGCCTTGACAAACCTAATGTAAATCAAACAGGAATTCAATATTGAAGATTGCTTATAAAAAAAGTTACCATAAAAGATTTTGTTTCGCAGTTTGATCAACTTCTCAATTTTATCATGTGTGGCAGGACAAGGCCCTCAAATGGTCATTAATTGGCTCCAGGGCTTCAACTAGTCCACAGGAAAGTGAGTCGCTTGACACTGCATCTGTCACAGGTAAGTATCAACTGGGGCAGGTGGGAGGATGTTGTGCACAGCACCCAATCATACACTGCCTACCTGCCATTGCACCTCTTTGGGTGGAGAACAGAGACAGAGCGAGAACAAGAGTCAAGAATAAAATAAAGCTGAAGACTGCAGATAAGCCCCCAGGCAATGTTAACTGCCTATCCAATTTCCAGTGGCCAGGAAACTAAAATCAAATTTCTCCTTAAGTATTCAACATGAAGAAAAGACTCATTCTCCAAGTGCCATTATTATCTATAACAGAGACAACACAGTTCATCTAACACTAAAAAAAACTTTGGATCTCTTGTCAAATATCAAAAGGTGGTGCTTTAAAAAGTGCCTCTTTCACACACTTCGATAGTTTTTTTTATGACTTCACATTTGTAAATATGACAGAACTTCATCAAGTACCTGCATATCTGAAGGTCTTACTAATGTAATGATTAGCTACTCAAACCAAAAAAAAATGCTGAAATACTCCGATTCAGCAGCATCTGTGGAAAGAAAAACAAGGTTAACCTTTCTGGTTGATGGCTTTTTGTCAGAAGACTGAAAAGAGTGTTGCATTAGCACGCTAACTGTTCACCTGCTTACTGATCTCAGGCAGGTCCCAAATTTCCCCTTGGGTATCTGTCCAATATTATACAGCTAATCATATCTTTGTGTATTTAGTGTCACTTTGTGATTCTGATGGATCATTCCCTCAAAATAATTAAAGAAAGCTAACTTGCTGTTAAGTGTTATGATTCAAGCTGATGGCACTACAGGACAAGTCAGATCCCAGAATAAAATCTGGTTCGCTGGATCATATACACTTTTGAAAGTAATTTAAGACAGCAGTCTTTCACTGAAGCATAAACACACAAGGCAGCAGATTCGATTTTAGCAATAAAACAGAAGATAGGTGTTTATTACATCAAAAAGTAAACCAAAGTGTCGAAACATAACCATTTGAAAATTTCAAAACACCACAAAACAAAGTCTCATCTACTCCCCAATGCCATTTTACAGTTAATCAAAATCCAGATAAAATTTCCTTCCTGTTCAATTCCTTTGTGTCTTCTCACTTCAGGGCTCTATGAGCTGTGAAGCCTTTTCCTTGAATACTCTCAACCGAGATCTTGGACTTTCTCAGTTTTGAATAATTAATCCCGGTTTCTAATCAAACACTCTAGGTCCGGTAGGTTTCATTTTATGAAACCTTTCCATTAAAGGAAACTTCTCTTAACAGCTCTGAACAATTGCCTTTTCCAAGAGAAACTATACTTGCATCTGACCTCATTCAGGTTTCCTTTGAACTAAATTCAAAAGCTTTTGAACTAATTTTTGTTTCAAGCTTGCTGATCCTAGATTCTGCAATGGCTAATGGCTTAATGCTTTTATAGCCTAAACACCTACAATATAAACAAACTTCCATTTCCAATCCAGAGGTCCTTCCAGTCACCTGCTCCCTGACACATATGGTTTAAAAGTCAAGGTTCTACAAAGACTGAGCAAATGAATTTTTGAACCTCTTAACAGAAATAAATCAATGACCATATACAATTACTTCAAAATCCACAATATTTAAAAAATATCAATATATATGAAAATCATACACCTTTGATTACTAGACTTGTAATTAGAGGTCCAGATTAATGATTTGGGTACATCTGTTTAAATCCTATAAATCTCTGAGTAATAACAGCCATTAAACTATCATTGATTGTCAAATATAAAATCCATCTGGTTTATTAACATCTTTAGGGAAGGAAATCACCATTCCTACTTAGTCTGACCGATTTGTGACCCCAGACACACAGCAAATGTAGTTGACTCTTAACTCAGTTAAACCGTCTAATTAAAGTCATATTGGATTCACATTATTAACTCTGTTTCACTCTCCACAGATGCTGCCAGACCTGTACAGTTTCTCCAGCATTCTCTATTAACATGTTAGAAGTCACGTGATTGGTTGTGATGCTGTAGGCCCTGCTGGGGTTGTTGTTGTTGTTTTTGAATAGTGACTATTGAGAGGGGTTTTTGTTTTATTTGGTTCAGTTGGAGGGAAGCTTGCTATGAACAAACCAAGTTTGGAAGAAAACATGCCATGAACAAGCTGTCCTGATAATCTCTCCCATTTGAGAGGAAAACCCTCCATATCAATTCAGAGTGAAATCTATTGTTATTTTCAAAAGGAATTAAATAAAAATACCAAGATCATACTTCCAGCACAAGTGACAAGCTGGAGACAGTATGCTTATGGCTGCTAAAATGGGATGTCAAAATGAAATTTGATGATCAGCTTTGTTTACTGTTCAGTGGACTAGGAGAAGGGCATTATGGATGAAAATAAGCTCAGAAAGCATGACTGAACAACAAGAGAGAAACTTAAGCAAGATACAAGTTTAGAACTGTGAAAGAAGCAGGGGCAGCTGAACAGATGGTCTCAAATTACATTCTAAACACCAACGAATGCAAGGAGTTCATGAACTTTATTATTAAGTTAAAACTCTGGCTAGTTAAAGCCAGTCAGTAAAAAGATTCAGCAACTTAAGTTCAGAGGTCGGTCTTTTAGTTTAAAAAAAAAACTTACTTAGGTTACAAACAAACAATCCAGGTAAATCTACATTTAATCACCACCCCTTGTTTCTGCAGTTTATTTGAATAAGGTGATTCCTTAGGCTGACTTAATGGTTTTCTTCAAGACAACAAAGGAAACTGAAAATGTATGAGGCAAACTGCCCTTTATCCTAAATTTTCAAAACATATTTGGAAGCAAAAGGAAGTTAAGGAAAACCTGTTCATTTAAACTGAGTTGTAAAGCAAATTCCTAGAGACAGAAGATCAAGGAAGGACATCTATGAAATGCTTGAAGAATAAAGAACGACAGATGGTGCAAAGTGAGGCAAAGAAAAAGTGGGTTCATTTGCATAATACTCTTTTCTGGTTCTATCATTCAGTCCATGTTCACATTAGTCCTTCATTCACAGAGTAAAAAGGTAGAAATCAAACCAATTACATGGACATTATTTTCTTCTGCAGTACAAGTGGAGAAAATCTTTCAAATAGCTGAATCAGTTTACATTTGTGTTATTTCTTGTAAAGTCTAAACTTTGATAAAAGGTCATACCTGATCTAAATTCTTAAAAAGAAGAATGTCTTTACATGCATCTTGCAATCTTCTTCTTTGTTCATCTGTTTTGGGATGAACAACCTACAATGCAGAAGGAAAATTGCTGTAAAAATATCTACAGCTTCATATTAAAACTATTTATCAGTTGTTATTCAATAGGTTGAAAGTTGTTACTACGACATTAAAAGGTGGGATCTCTTCACTGCCTCACTGGAAACTGCCAAACAGGTAAAAAACAATAACCATTTAGATTGCTCATCTCCCACGATTAGTACAATGTGCTTTGTACAAATATTTACCAACTGTTTTCTCTACTTCTCTGATTCTTTCCCTTGCAAATAGCTTCAAGCATTAAATAAATATTCAAAATGTTAAATTAATTACTTACTTTAGAATATAAGACTTAGTTAACTTCATTGCATTTTAATAGAAACAGCAGCTAAAGTTACTGTTAATTATCAGTGCAGAATCTCAACATTTAGGCCAATTATTCAGCAAGGTTTAAACTGACTGAAGAGGTTCTATTGATAACAGCATGATACAAAAGGCAGTTCACTTCTCTCACATAAATAGCAAAGTGCATTAATGTTGGGACACAGCACAACAGGTTTTTGGATATATTTTTGAAATTATTCAAAATTTTTTTACGTTTACTTGCTATAATTTTTGCATTTCTATGCATAAAACACTTCATTCATCATAAACCTCCCAGAACCACATGGACCAGAGAGCCATTCAATAAAGCCAGCTACTGTCCTCTGCTGTTCTCTCTTTTATTAAGGCACGAACTTGCATATGTTTCGTTTTCAGGCAGTCAGCAAGTGGCAGCAGCCAAAACACAGTTACCAAATAAGATAATTGTAAAAAGGTAATCCTTGTTATCTCAAATGTTATTTTAATTTACATGGTGTGTTTTACTTTTGTGCATGTGTGAAGGTGTGTGGTTTACATCTTTGAGACATCTGCTACACTATTCCTCCTTGCACATCGTGACCCAAGTCGGCAGCTCACCACAAGAGCAACTCTCTCTCAAAACATATATGAACAGATTTTTTTTTGAGGAAAAGGAGAGACAACGAGGCAGAGAGGTTAGGCCACTGCAAAGTAGTGTCTGCTAAGTTGCCTCCAAAAAAGAGAAGACAACAGCCTGTAGGGTTGGACGAGGAAGCTACATTTTTCTTCAAAAATAAGGTTTGTTTGCATTCATCCACGTGCTGCATGTTTTCATTTTCCAAATAACGTTGCTTACCCGAGGTTCTGTATCCTCCTCTTCCTCATCAGGGTTGAAAGCTTCTGCACATACTAAAAGGATACACTAAGATTAATATGAATGGATTGCAAAAATGACTAATTCAAAGGATACAATTCTAACATTCGATTGATAGCTTCATTTTATTTGAGCATTGAGATGATTATTATATAACTGGTCAGAGATCTCATTTTTCATTAAATGGGATTTCTAGCTTGTCATATTGAGTATAATCAGACTTTTTTTTAAAAGAGTGAGCATTCTAACAGCTTGGATATAGAAACATTACAAATAAATAATCACAGAATCAAACTATAACATAGCAGATATTCACTTGAACAATTTAGTTCATTTGACAGGATCATTTTGCAGGAGCAGCAAATTTTAGTAAAGACAAGAGAATGTTAAACACTTGCTTGAAAATAAAACTTCCTGTTAGCTAATCACAAAGCTAACTGCAATTGTGAAGCACACTTTTACATTCTTGGCTCACAACTGAAGAATTTTTCAAACTTCATTCGTTCATGGGCATCCCTGGCAAGGCCAGCATTTGTTACCCATCTCTAATTGCCCCTGAACCGAGTGACTTGCTCGGCCATGAAGAGGGTTGTTCAGCGTCAACCATTACTGTGCAGTCACATGAAGGCAGACCGCATAATGATGGCAGATTTCCTTCTTTAAAAGGACGTTAGTGATCCAGACCAAATAGTTTCAGGGTTACCACTACTTGTACTAACTTGATATTCCAGATTTATAACCTGAATTTAAATTCCACCAGCTGCCATTGTGGGATTTCTACCCCTGTTACTATAGCATTAGTCTGACCCTGTGGTTTACTAACTCAGTGGCATTACAACAATGCTATCATCTCTGACAATATAAACAGGGAGCTTTCATCAAAAAGGAAAACATTTGAATTCCTAAACTTGTCAAGCTTTCTTAATGGCAGAGGACAAAAAGTACTCCACAGTATTTCAATGACATAGCCATTATTTTCTACAGGAATGCGTAGGAGTGTCCAGCTGCAATGGATTATGCTGCATATTATTTAGCTTTATAGATATCACTTGGTTCTGTCATATAACTCAGTGAGAAGGTTAAACCATATGGTAAGAATCATAAGGCCTTGGTTTCATAGGGTTCCTACTTCTAAGCACGTAATTGATCTTCCATGTGCGATGACAAAAATGTCACTATTCAATTAAAACCTGACCCACCAAATGAATCTTCAAACCTACATTTTAAAAAAAATCCAACCTTTTGCTGCCAATAAAGAATTCATCCTTAATTCCACTCCAAACAACTGCAGTGACAAAAATCGAGGCCGCAATATTTTCATTCATTTTCTAAAAAACAAATTCAAACATCCCAAACCACAATTGACAACAAGGAACAGGGAAATATATATACAAGACTAACTACGTTCAGAGATTCTTTCTTAATGGTCATTCCCCACAGCCTTATCTGTATAAGAAACTGGCTCAAATGGACCTTAGTGGGCTAATTCAAATTTGATGCCAAGTCTCAACATAGTAAGGCACTTTAGAAATTCAGAAAATAATACTCAGCCAGGAATTGAAGGTTGACAAATAAAGTTTATCATCTTGATATTGGTCCAAACATAAATTTGAGAGGAAAAGACATCAACAAATCAGTCGAGTGTTCAGGCAGGTGATTATCAGGTGAGTTTCAATGCTGAGGAAGTGAGAGTAATGCTGTTGGGTAGTAAGAACATTGAAAGACAATATAAAATAGGGGGTACGATTCTGAAAAGGAGGTGCAGGAGCAGAGGGAGCTGACGTATATATCTAATTATCATTAAAAGTGGCAAGACAAATGGAGAGACGAGTTTAAAAAGCCTACAGCGTTCTCAACTTTGTTCATAAGGGCAAGGAGGTGACATTGGACTTCTATGAGACACTTGTACAAGACCTCAGCTGGGAGTATGCTGTACAGTTGTGTGAGCCACATTATGGGAAGAGATGGGAATGCATTTGAAGCTATTTACCAAGAATTGTTCCAGCAATGAGAAGCTTCAGTTATGAGGATACATTGAAGAAGTTGGGACTGTTCTCCTTGAGAGAAGATGGCTGAAATGGGACTTGATCGAGGTTTTCAAAATCATGGGCAGGCTGGATAGAGTAGCTGGGAAACTGTTCATGTTTATAAAAAGGAACAAGAATAAAAAGGACCCAAATTTAAAGTGATGTGCAAAAGAAGCATGCTGCGAGAAAAAATACCTTTTCACTCAGCAAGTAGATAGAGTATGGAATGCACTGCCTGGAAGTGTAGTGGAAATCGGTACAATTGAGGCATTTGAGAGGGCAGTGGATGATTAGTTGGATTGAAACAATGTACAAGGATATGGGGGAGAAAACAGAAGATTACCTAGTGCCAACGACGCTTGTTTGAAGAGCTGGTGCAGGCACACTGGGCTGAATGGCCTCCTTCTGCACTGTAACAATTCTGTGATTACTACGACAAATTTTTATTTCTATTCAGTTGATCCAATTGTTGTTATTTAATGGCAGAAAAAGAAAACACATTTATCTGAATGCTGCCCAAAGTTTCATTTTTTTTCCCCAAATTGTCTAAGTCAGTCACAAAATTTCCGCTTATTACTAGAATACAGCAAGATTCAAAAGTTGTCTGTGCAGCAAGTTTCACATTCAATCTAAAAAAAAATGCAATGCCAGAAAAATTGTTTCACCTTTACCAACATGGAAGTTGTACCTCATCCTATCTATAGTTCAAAAAGTACTAAGTCAGTCAGTCAGGTCAGTCAGTTAATCTACTACCAGAATCTAAATAACTTTGATTTGATAAGTCCATAATTAAAGATAGGTGTACAGCTTTAAGAAATTTAAAACAAGACATATACAGAATTTCCAAACATGCTCTTCAGATGATCTCTCAAAGCCTTTGTTTGCACCCAGGTTGAAACTACAGGCTAAATCTTTCAGGTCCTTACAATAGATCTTAACACCAGAAGTTGCTAATATTTAGATTTCCATCTGTAAAGAGAGAGGTTGGCTCCTAAATGGATTATAAACAGAAATCTTTGGAGCTTCATTGGAATTGTCAGAAATAGAGTAAAATGTCAGTCAGTTTATAAAGGTGTGAAGTGATCGGCTTATCACCATAACATAAATAAATCTCTTTTCGCCTTGGCAACAGGTGCCTTTAAAATTTAAGGCTTTCTGAATGCCAAAAATGTATCGTCATGAAAAGCTAAAGACTTTCATTCTCATTGTTTCTTCCAAGACCTGAACTAGCTGTTAGAAAAAAATCCCAAAAAGAATCTGTATTCAAGATAAATTCTGCAGCATAGCACTCTGCACAATGGAAGAGCTACAGCTGTTTGTTTTATTGATCTAAAAATTGAGTTTTGGCGGGTATGTTTTGAAATGAAGATAAATATTTTTCAAATCATTCCAACCTAGAAGTGAATGTCTCAAAGGGGAAAAGAAAGGATGGTGACCCAAGGTCAAATTCATTAGGAGGACTAGCAGTAAATAACAAGTAACATTCGTGTCACTCAAATACTCCGTCCAACAAGAAGAGTCAACCTTACTCCCCCTGACATTCAATGGCATTCCCATTTTCAAACTTCCACCATCAGCATTCTACAAGTCATCATTACCATGCAATAAAAGTACCGGGCCAGATGCTGGGTCCAGTACCATCTACAAAATGCAGGAACTTGCCAACACTCTAACTACATTTGTGAATCTAAAACCCCTACCAAAAAAGGTGGCAAGAGCAGCAGTTAAATGGGAACACAAAGAAACTGCCACATTCTCCTCCATGTTCCATACAGTCCTGACCTCAAAATATAGAGCCGTAGCTTCAGCAGCACCGAGTTAAAATTGTGGAGCCCTTACTAAACAACATTGCAGGAGCTCCTTTATCATATGAATCGAAATGTTTCAAGAAGCTGCTTACTACCGCCTTCAGGACAGGCAATAAACATTGACCTTCCAGTGATACTCACATCCCATGAATGAATAAATAAATAAAGAGTTACCACCAAGATGAGATAACAGGAGCACTGCCCATCGCTCTCTTGCTTTCTGTCACACTACCCAAAAGGGCACAACGTTATTTTTAAATCAGAGATAGTAGGAACTGCAGATGCTGGAGAATCCGAGACAACAAGGTGCAGGGCTGGATGAACCCAGCAGGCCAAGCAGCATCATAGGAGCAGAGAGGCTGACGTTTCGGG